ATTTGAGAGAGAAAAACTCTACTGCAAATCACAAATCCAACCACTGTGTGCACCAGCAGAGTTTTGCTGGCATCTAATGGGGAAAATTTGGTACTGCGCCCAAACAAAATCTTACTGAAAGCTCATTTTTTGAGATATCAACCTCACATTTGGAATACAACTAGTTTAGATTTATGGCTTTGATTTTCTAGCAGGTATAGAGTTCAACATGTTTCATAAAATATATATTTTATATAAAACATCGTTCATAAATCATTTTCATAAACCTAAACATCTAGAACATTTTTTTTGGTTTCACTTTTTAAACTTTTTTTACTTCAACAATAATCTGCCATGGGTCTTCTTTAAAATGAGACCAAACTTAACTCTGTGCTCCCAAGCTTCAAATTTTTATGACAGTTTTTTGACATGGACATTTTTGTCCACTATGGACCTATGTGTAACTTTTTTTAAATTGACGCACAAGGGTTAAACAAGCAATGTCATTTTTTAATTAAAGAGGCCCACCTGAGGTCAGCATTATTGTGAATAAATTCCTAAAGAGATTAAGATTACTTCCACCATTAATCACCAGATGTTACCCAACATCAAAGCCTGTGACTTTCTCTGAAGTTCTTTTCATTTTCTCTGGATTTTCTAGGTATCAATGTGTAAAATATGGATCGTGAAGTGGGAGAGAACTCCTTTGAACATGGAAGATTGGGAACTCTCAGACGATGGGGAAGATTTCTTTGTGGTCCACGGAATCTCACGTTTAAAGATGTGCTTACATGGTATGTTAAAGATCTTTAAAGATGTTTAATGTTTTTACATAACAATTGTCAGATTGCTGGTAACTTAAGAATTGTTCCTACAGGCAGCTCTGCAAAACTATTGCAATGGGTCAAGCCCTGTCTATGCTGATATGTGGGACGGCAGTTACATGTCAGTATTTGGCAAATGCTGGGGTAGAGACGCCAATGCTGCAAAGCTTCCTCAATTACACCTTGCTGCTGCTCACCTACACTTTAGCCTTAGCCTTCAGGAGAGGTAAGTTGCAGCACACCTACTCTGCATGGAATCACACACTGCTTTTATCAGGTGATTAGAACGGGCAGAATATCATTTCCATGACCATGCTTATCATTGCTCCAGATTTTAAATAAACTTATTTGAGGATTCATGCCTGCAAGGCTGATCTTGTGGATTAAAATCTTTAAATGATTTACTGAGTCTCCTCAACATGCTAAATTAAAATGTACTACTCATAAAAACCTTGTTATGTAGCTTTCCTCCAGCAATGCAAGCTAGTACAGAAGATATGGCATATATTTCTGCTGGATTAATCACAGTTGTTTCGTAATTTAGGTGAAAATAACATTGTTCGAATTCTAAAAACAAAGTGGTGGAAGTATTTTCTGATGGCTCTTACGGATGTGGAAGCCAACTACACAGTCGTGAAGGCATACCAGTTCACTACCCTTACAAGTATACAGGTAAGAATGCATCACTCTTTTTCTTTTTATTTGAAAAGAAATACACACAGTATATCAATAATTTTGAGTTAATATGATAACTTATGTGTTGTAGCTGCTGGACTGCTTTGTGATCCCGGTTCTGATGGTGCTCTCATGGATCTTTTTGAAAACTCGCTATAGACCGTTGCATGTTATAGCTGTGGCTGTGTGTTTGCTTGGAGTCGGTGCAATGGTGGGAGCAGATCTGCTGGCAGGGAGAGAACAAGGCTCAAGTAAGTACTTTATAGTAGGGAGCAAATAGGGGTATAATCTAATTACACCTTGATTATGCTTTAATATATTCTTCTATATATTCTTTTGTTTTGCCTCTGTTTGCCTTTGTTTTGATCATGAATCATTTGCCAAAACCTGAGGGTATTTTACTCCTGTTACAAAAGATAAGATTATACAAAAAGAGGACAACTAAAGAAACTACATGAAGAATTTATCATAGGCTGTGGTTTTTAGTTGCTTGAAATGTCATCATCTTGCACAAAAATAGTTGATCTCTGTGGCTCTGTTTCTTGGGCTTTTTGTGTGTTTCTGTAACTGCAGGTAGTCATGTGTTGTTGGGGGATGGACTCGTGCTGGTCAGTGCTGCTCTGTACGCAGTGTCAAACGTTTGTCAGGAATACACAGTGAAAAACCTGAGCAGGGTAGAGTTCTTGGGCATGATGGGGCTCTTTGGGACACTCGTCAGTGGTGTGCAGATGTAAGTGTTATGTCCACCATCTAATTTTCATAGTGAAATGCCTCCACCATGAGATAAAGCCTTGCTTTTGAAAAGGAGTGGCTATATACACTACCATTCAAAATTTATTTATTTATTTATTTTTTTTGCATAAGAAATTAATACTTTTATTAATCAAGGATGCATTAAATTGATTAAAAGTGACAGTAAAGACATTTACAAAAGATTTTTATTTCAAATGAATTCTGTTCTTAACTGAACTGGAAAAAAAAATCACCATGCTATCTACAAAAATGTTTAGCAGCACTGATGATAATAATAGGAAATGTTTCTTGAGTACGATATCAGCATATTAGAATGATTTCTGAAAGATCATGTGACTCTGAAGACTGGAGTAGTGATGCTGAAAACTCAGCTTTCCCATCACCAGAATGAATTACATGTAAAAATATATTAAAATAGAAAACATTTATTTTAAATTGTAATAATATTTCACAATATTACTGTTTTTACTGTATTTTTGATCAAATAAATGCAGCCTTGGTGTGCATAAGAGACTTATTATATTACTGACACCAACCTTTTGAACACTAGTGCATATGTAAGTCATTAGTCCTAGTTGATTTTTTTTATTATTATTCATTTTATTTTGAAGGGCTATATTTGAATCCAAAGCTGTGCCTGTCATCAACTGGAACTTGAAAATATGTAAGTAACTCTTAAGTTTTAAATGTTTTTTTTTTCATTGACATTAGCTTGCAATATTATCTAGTCATCATTTACACAAAATTCCAATAAATGTATGTAGTAAGTTTTACAGAAATTAGAGTATTTCCAGATCTCCTCTTTATTTGATAAATACTTTAAATACCTGTATGTTTATTCTGTAGGCCTGCTCTTTGTTGCATATACTCTGTGCATGTACGGGCTGTACAGTTTCATGCCTGTAGTGGTAAAGATGACCAGTGCCACGGCTGTGAACCTCTCACTGCTAACTGCTGACCTCTTCAGTCTCTTCTGTGGCATGTTTCTTTTTCGCTACAATGTGAGTAGAAAGATTGCATTCTCAGCAAATCAATAAAAATGCCAGAACAAAAGAAAAGATTAAAACATTTTCCAATATCTTTGTCACAGTCCTCTTGCTAAATGATAATTGGCCAGGGGTGTTGACATTTTGAGTGGTTGCACTGATTCTTGATATTTGGACACTTGCTTTATATAATAAATCTTTTAATGAAATAGTTTTACTAACTCTAATATGCTGTGGCTTGTTCACATTGGTTTTTCAGTTTCTTACAAGTTTTTGAAACTTTCCTTCTTTCTTCTCAGTTCTCAGGCCTGTACATCGCGTCTTTTGTGGTGATCACGCTTGGTTTCATCATGTTCAACATCGTACCGACCTACACAGCAGATCAGTCTTATTCCACTAATGACAGAGCGTATCATCTTGCTTCATCTGCAGATGTCCAACAAGATGGAGACATTGTAGTAGACTGGCTGCAAAAGGAAGGACAGGAGAATCAGGACAGGACAGGATCAAGTCACAAAGCATATTGCAATGGATTCTGTTCCCAGATATAAAGCTCTACAATGTAGAGTACAGTATTGAATTTTATAGATTTGCTTTAGAAGGGTTCATATTTTTGCCAGTGTCAAGTCAGTATTTAATCCATTATTTAAGGATTTTAAATCCACTTCACTGTGCCTTGACTATATTTTTATGTACACCAATTTGCATATAAATGTTATTTAAATCTGCTGAGACTTAAGTTGACACATTACAAAAATAGAAAGTTGTCATCATGCACTATAATGATCTGTGCAGTACTACCTTAAGAGGTGCTAACATCTCAATTCCATATGAGATGCTGCTCCCAGTATGATTACTGATATTAACATTCTTTATGTTTGTCACATTCTGTTTGTCTCACTTGTTATTTTTATTTGAGTTACAAAATGACTACAAAACTGTACATTTGTTGGTACATTTATTAGTATTGAATGTTTTTTTTTTGTTTCCACATTTGAAAATGATTATTTTTGACCAGTAAAGTGTTTCTTTCATTCATAGTTAAGCTGTAATAGTGGTGTTTGTCAAATATGCTAAGTTGATTTTACATTAAAACATTTGTTGGCTTATAGAACATATTTTAAAGACTCACATATCTCCCCACCCCCATCCCCCAAGGGGGATGATTCTATTCTATACCCACTGTATATTAAAATAATAGCAAGTCATCCTGGAACCCCCTTGAAAGTTTACCGAGGCCCTCTGCTTGAGGACCACACTAGATTTTCTTTATGGACCCCAGTGTACCAAACCCTGGTTCTAGAGGAGCAAATTCATGGCATTAAATTTCAAATTATGGAAAAACAATTTTATAAAACTCTATGCATGAGTTTTGTCTTTATGTAATGGAGTGAGAGAGGTCTTCTGGGGTCTTTCCATCTCCAGTATCCCCTCACTGCAGAACAAAGATCCAGGGGGCGGAGTTGGATTCACATCTAGGGGGTGGCGATGGTAGGTTTAGGGGTGGAGATGGGTGGGTTTAGGGATCAGGGGGTGGAGACGGGTAGGTTTAGATTGACATTAGCTTGCAATATTATCTAGTCATCATTTACACAAAATTCCAATAAATGTATGTAGTAAGTTTTACAGAAATTAGAGTATTTCCAGATCTCCTCTTTATTTGATAAATACTTTAAATACCTGTATGTTTATTCTGTAGGCCTGCTCTTTGTTGCATATACTCTGTGCATGTACGGGCTGTACAGTTTCATGCCTGTAGTGGTAAAGATGACCAGTGCCACGGCTGTGAACCTCTCACTGCTAACTGCTGACCTCTTCAGTCTCTTCTGTGGCATGTTTCTTTTTCGCTACAATGTGAGTAGAAAGATTGCATTCTCAGCAAATCAATAAAAATGCCAGAACAAAAGAAAAGATTAAAACATTTTCCAATATCTTTGTCACAGTCCTCTTGCTAAATGATAATTGGCCAGGGGTGTTGACATTTTGAGTGGTTGCACTGATTCTTGATATTTGGACACTTGCTTTATATAATAAATCTTTTAATGAAATAGTTTTACTAACTCTAATATGCTGTGGCTTGTTCACATTGGTTTTTCAGTTTCTTACAAGTTTTTGAAACTTTCCTTCTTTCTTCTCAGTTCTCAGGCCTGTACATCGCGTCTTTTGTGGTGATCACGCTTGGTTTCATCATGTTCAACATCGTACCGACCTACACAGCAGATCAGTCTTATTCCACTAATGACAGAGCGTATCATCTTGCTTCATCTGCAGATGTCCAACAAGATGGAGACATTGTAGTAGACTGGCTGCAAAAGGAAGGACAGGAGAATCAGGACAGGACAGGATCAAGTCACAAAGCATATTGCAATGGATTCTGTTCCCAGATATAAAGCTCTACAATGTAGAGTACAGTATTGAATTTTATAGATTTGCTTTAGAAGGGTTCATATTTTTGCCAGTGTCAAGTCAGTATTTAATCCATTATTTAAGGATTTTAAATCCACTTCACTGTGCCTTGACTATATTTTTATGTACACCAATTTGCATATAAATGTTATTTAAATCTGCTGAGACTTAAGTTGACACATTACAAAAATAGAAAGTTGTCATCATGCACTATAATGATCTGTGCAGTACTACCTTAAGAGGTGCTAACATCTCAATTCCATATGAGATGCTGCTCCCAGTATGATTACTGATATTAACATTCTTTATGTTTGTCACATTCTGTTTGTCTCACTTGTTATTTTTATTTGAGTTACAAAATGACTACAAAACTGTACATTTGTTGGTACATTTATTAGTATTGAATGTTTTTTTTTTGTTTCCACATTTGAAAATGATTATTTTTGACCAGTAAAGTGTTTCTTTCATTCATAGTTAAGCTGTAATAGTGGTGTTTGTCAAATATGCTAAGTTGATTTTACATTAAAACATTTGTTGGCTTATAGAACATATTTTAAAGACTCACATATCTCCCCACCCCCATCCCCCAAGGGGGATGATTCTATTCTATACCCACTGTATATTAAAATAATAGCAAGTCATCCTGGAACCCCCTTGAAAGTTTACCGAGGCCCTCTGCTTGAGGACCACACTAGATTTTCTTTATGGACCCCAGTGTACCAAACCCTGGTTCTAGAGGAGCAAATTCATGGCATTAAATTTCAAATTATGGAAAAACAATTTTATAAAACTCTATGCATGAGTTTTGTCTTTATGTAAAGGAGTGAGAGAGGTCTTCTGGGGTCTTTCCATCTCCAGTATCCCCTCACTGCAGAACAAAGATCCAGGGGGCGGAGTTGGATTCACATCTAGGGGGTGGCGATGGTAGGTTTAGGGGTGGAGATGGGTGGGTTTAGGGATCAGGGGGTGGAGACGGGTAGGTTTAGAGGTGGAGATAGGTGGGTTTAGGGATCGGGGTGGAGACGGGTAGGTTTAGTTATATGTAAGGTGGGAGGAGTTGGATCTGGATCCAACCTCGCCCCCTTGATCTTGTGTTCTGCAGTGAGGACCATCTCTCCGCCGCCGTGCTGCACAGCAGCGCTGCATTGCGATGCTCTGAAGCGCCCGCCCTCTTTAATTCACATGCTCATCATGGAGGAATAGGAACAGGTACCCGCTTTATAGAGAGAGGAGGACAGGCTTATTCCCATTCCCAGCGACATCTTGAAACGTATGTTCTTGTCATTCATTTATCTTTTATCAGATACTCTGATGTATTATTTGATACGCTCTTTTCACATGACCATGTGTGGTGTAGAATAGAGAACAGAGCAGAAGAACACCTATTGCAAGATGAAATAGTCTCGACGGTAAATGACTCCGATTGTCTGTATTATATAACCCATGATATTTGAATTTATTATAAACGGCTCACCTGCCATGAAATAACGCGTCAGACATTAAATATGTGATTGTGTATGTGTAGACCTTATGCTGGTTGTTCGAGCAGTTGCCCACGGCAACGTCTTAATCCGCCTAACGCCACCTCAAGACATTTCTGTCCACGACAGTTGAATGCAATACAACGATTAAATAAAGATACACTGTGGTTTTGAATTATGTTTTGTGCAGGTGGTCAGACCATCCGCGAATGTGAGTTATACTGTTGTAGCAAAGCAGACAATCGCGATGAAGCATTTTCTGAGGTAAGTACGTCTTTATTGCTTAATAGTGACATGCTGCTTATTGCTTAGAAGCTGAAATGCCATTGTTTTCATTTTCCATTGTTAAAAATGCACATTAAATTCGCCGTTATACTGATTTTTTATTGCATACTTTGTAGTATGGCCCAATTAGCCTATGTCATGGATGTGGAAACTAAAACAGAAACAAAATAATTATTCATTATTCTTATCAGGTATTATTATTATTATCATCATCATATCATCATGAAAATAATAGAATGAGTTTATATTGCACAATAATAACAAAAGGCTAATAATAATTAGTGTGTGTATGTATATATTAGTTATTATTATTATTATGAATGATTAACTGTGTCAAAGATGTGGGAAAAAAAGATTATGGAACATAGCCTAATTCTATATATAAATATATAGACAAATTTTTATAATTACTTTATGATAGTATTTTGTAGTAGGCTATTGTTAAAATATCCTAATTATGAAATATTAATAAACATATAATTATTAGTGTTATTATTTTTTATTATATATCTAAAAAAATACTGATTATGACTGATTATTAAATATTGCAAAACATTTTTAAACATCCAGAAAGTATTGCTGTTACTGAAAACAGTTAAAGATATATAACCCCCTCACTCTGAAACAAATGTTCGTGCTGCCAGCTTGACAGACATTAATGGAACCTAAATAAATATGTCAATGATTCATATTAGAGATCCAACATGAAAGCTGGTGAGATTACATTTGAACCCCACCCTCAGTGGCCTTTTCAACTGCTAACATTCATTGTCAGCAACAGCTCTTAAGATGTAAATAACTGCAAAATACCTTTTAATTAACAATCCCTTGGTGAGTCGTCCCCTGCCTTTCAGTTTTAGGTGCTTTCCTATCAGCCACTCCTCTTAATTATATTGTTTATAATAAATGATGTTGAAAGGCACTAAACCTAATAGGAGGTTGCTCCAAATGCACAAGTATAGATATAGCTATAATGCAATATCAGAACTGGCTATTATTAAAATCCTGGAAAAGGGAATTATCTTTGGGACACGCCATTTCTGTTCAACAGCTTTGATAGACAATAACACCTTTTTTTACAAAACACAGGTTTGACCGCAAATTCATTTCATGCCGATGGGGAGGCGAGTCTATCCTGTGAGCAGTAACTCTCAACATAATCAACAACCGGATTCAAACAGGTTTATTCCTAGTCCAGTGCGTTTCCTGTAGTGAATTAGACTGCAGTTTAGACTGCAGATTAGTATATAATATAGATAGATGGAATCATCCTTGCACTGGTTCAAAACAGATGCATATAGCAGATAGACATGTCAGTAAGTCCTTTGGAGAATACACACTGCTTGATACATGCAGAATATGAAACCTGTTTAAAGAATAATACTGTCAAAATTATACTTTGCTTTCATCATGCAGATCTTTGTAGAACTGTGACCCATTTCATCATCGTGGCCCATTTATCTCTGTCTCGAATCACAGACATGCTTTTTACAATGGGGATTAAGCCTAGCTTTTGTAGACATCAGACCATTATAAGAGAAAAATAATGTGCATTTCTCTTTGAACAGCTTGATGTTAATGGAAAACACACATCTGATTCAGTTATTCAGTTCAGGTTTAGAGTACTCAAATATAATGAGCTTTCAAAATACCTCAGTGAGTACGCTTTATTCTGGGACAGAATACACGGGTGTATTAGGCCTGTCAGTATTGGACTTGTGTCATTTTATTCAGGCTTCTTTATTTCTCTGAATCTTCTAGGGTACTGACCCAGTTACTGCTGTTGCTTTACTGTAAGTGTTTGTGGCGGGGCCTGAAGTTTGTCATCAGGAAGGTGACAGGACGATGTGAGCTTCAATGGATCTGTTACAATAACAAACCTGGTGCTCGAAGGACCCTCAAGATCGGTAAATACAATCAGTGAATTTAGTAGTACATCTACTGTAAAAAACACTATATTTGTAATATTGGCTTTATATGGGGACATTTTTATATTATTTTATGTTTCTTTTAATTTCACAGAATCCTCACTCAAATGCTCTAAACATGAGGTGAGTCATGAACTTTATGAATTAAAATTTTTTTTTTTACACATTTATTGTATCACATTTATTGTATTTATATATTTACATTTTATTTACATATTTAAAGGGGTTATATGATGTTGCTAAAAAGAACATTATTTGGTGTATTTGGTGTAATGAATTGTGTTTATGCGGTTTAAAGTAAAAAAAACCCATTATTTTCCACATACTGTACATTATTGTTTCTCCTCTATGCCCCGCCTTTCTGAAACGCGTCGATTTTTACAAAGCTCATCGGTCTGAAAAGCGAGGTGTGCTCTGATTGGCCAGCTATCCAGTGTGTTGTGATCTGCAACTTTACAGATTGTAACACTTCTAAGAGAAAGGAAAAATTGAAATAGCATCATATGACCCCTATAATAATATTATTAAATGGTATGTATTTTATAATTTTATGCATTATAAGTAGGATTATTTTAGTATTATTTAAATGCTGTTATATTATTTACTCATATTTTGCTAAGCCTACAATAGCGTTTATTTTATATTTTCAGTTTAATTTTAAAGTGCCCCTATTATGCCATTTCCAACATTGCCTTTCATGCAGTGTATAATGTAGCTGTATGTGAATGTAAACGATCTGCAAAGTTGTAAAGCATATTAAATGCATATTTTGAGAAAACGAAAGGGTTGTTTGACCTTGCATGCATGTAATCCTATTGTAGGAGACTCCCAAAACAATATCAGGAACCGTAAAAATTGCATAATAGGGGCACTTTAATTTGAAATTAAATTAAATTAAATTTAGTAATTTTGTTATGTACTTTTGTCATTTTTATTAGTCATCACTGTCTTTTTTAATATACTTTTTAGCTTTCATTTATTTTTATTAAAAGGGGTCATATGACGCTGCTAAAAAGAACAGTATTTGGTGTAATGAAATGTGTTTATGCGGTTTAAGGTTCAAAAAACACATTATTT